CAAAGAAGTCACAGGTATTAAACTTCCCAAAAATGATCTCCCAACAAAGGGCCTGAGATTTTAGTTAAATTGGCTTGCTCCAAATCTCTTTTACCGGGAGGTTTAAACGCAAGGTGGTAGGCTGAATTAGGTTATTGAGAAAGGAAGCACATGTGAAGATGCCATCCGTAGAAATTGCCCAAAACCTTCTGTTCTCTGTTCTATGATCAACCTTCTTATATTCAGCTCCTTGGCTTTTTGGATACCTTCCATCACAGCCAAGATTTCTGCCCTCAAGGAGTCTCCCACATCTATTGGCCCAGAGTAAAGGGCAATAACACCTCCCTCATTCGAAAAAGAACCTCCAATACCTGAAGGGCCTGGATTCCCCTCACTACTACTACCGAAATTCAGCTTAATAAACCTGCTAGGAGGTGGAGCCCAAACAGACCTTAATAACAGCTCTTGGGAGAGAAGAATCAGACACCTCCTTCCACTTTCTAAGCAAGTCATTTGTGGGAATGTCACCGAAGTTTCTCAAGGATATAACCTAATGGATCACTCTGACAGTAATGGCTTCTATGATTGCTTCTCTGCTCCTTTCCTTGTCTGAAAAAGTTCTTTGATTCCTTTCTTCCCATATTGTCCATCATATTGCCACTCTTGTACACCTCCAAAGGGTTCTCCCCGTCCTCTTTTTCCAGTTAACAAAGGAAGAATCAAACAAGCCTTGAACATTCAGCAAGGGGTTCTATCTGCACCCAAACAAAGAGAAGAACCATTCCCAAATAGAAAGAGCAAAAGGGCAGGAAATAATAAGTGGTAGATAGTATCACCATTAGCCTTACAAAGGATGCACCAATTTGGGGAAAGGCACCAATTTTGTCTCTTTCTTTGAAGCAGATCACAAGTATTAATTCTTCCCAAGAAAACTCCCCAACAGAAACCACTTACCCTAGGAGGAATAGGCTTGTTCCAAACCTCCTTCACCGGAAAGGCCAACATGAATTATTAAAAGGTTGGGTCAAAGCAGAAAAGAAGGAAGCACAAGAAAAGGAACCAGAAAAATCAATTCACCAAATCCTACAATCTGACTCTGACAGGTTCAAGAATACCCCATCCAAATAGTGAAGTAAAACTGAAACACTACTTAATTCAGCCTCCCTAAGACTCTTTCCAAACCCCAGGATCCAGGCATAACCTGAAATTGAGCTAGAAGGTAACAAAAAGGAAGACACAGGCTCATCCTTAAAGATAGAAAGTCTAAAAAGGGAGGGAAATTGTTCCTTCAGCGGAAGGTCACCCAACCACACATGTTCCCAGAAGTAAGGGAAATGGGTTCAGATTTATAGTTTGAAAAAGTAAATAGCAAGGGAAATTGAGTCTTTAGGTGTTGTTTTCCTAGCCAAAGGACTTCCTAAAATAAGACCCTGTTCCCATTTCCCACATCGAATTGAATATGATTGAGGAAGAAAGGATAAACCTCTTGAATTGCTTTCCAGGGAGATGATGATAGAGCGTGAGGGGCTACTTTTGCATCCCAGCCATTGTCTAATCGCCTATGTATACTTACAATCACCTTGTGCTAAAGCCTTTCTCATTCCAGTGGAAATCTCTATAGCCATTTTCTTGGGAAAGCTGTATTTTCCAGACTAAGGAGGCATTTGATAACACTTTTCAGACATCTCACATCTAAAAACTTGCTCTTCAGACCTCAAACGCATTTGGGTTTGTGTCTAAAAGGATGATCCGAAATGCCTTTTCAGATCTGAAACGGTAAGACTGCAGCCCAACACTTAACGCATTTCAGATTTGGCCCATAGTCGAAAATACCCCCAAATAATTTTGAAAAGACATGATACTCCCCTGTTTTTAACCCAAAACTAGCTCATTTGTATTCTTCCTCTCGAACGAGAAAGACACTCGCCACACTGCCAAAGCTTTGCCCCAGGTATGTTCAGGGTTCAAATCCGAGCTTACATCTCGTTTTGCTTCTTCACTGTCGCAGATCTAAGCTTCCACTTTTCCTGGAATGATTTTCTAGGGTTTCGATTTGCTTCTTATTTGTCTTTCTTTGTTTTGGTCATTTCTCCATTTTTGTTTTGCTTATCCTCATTGGATATCTCCACTTTTTTGTGTTTACTTCCCTCTCACCTAGTGAAATAAGGACTATCTACATTGGTTTCACCCATTTCTTGTGATTGTTGTTGTCTCGTTGCTGTTGTTATTGTTACATACTGAAAATTGCTATCATTTTATTGTTCTTGTTGTAATTGTCTTCTTATAAGTTGGTGGCTTGTAAAAAGAAAGACTAACAAAGGTCGAGTTTGCTTCAATCTAAAAGAGTTTAAAAACTTATGTAAAAGTTATGAGTGAAACTTGATCCCAAATTCTAACAGAAACCGAAAAACACCTTGATTTGGTCCCAAATTGATCTTTATGGAAATGCTTGATGAATGACATAATGCCATGAATGAATCATGATGAGGATTGAAAATATAAAGAGAACACATGTGACTACAGTACTACACTTCCTAATAAGCTACAAAGAATAGAAGCAAAAACCCTTGTGGCATTGTAGAAGGATTTAACTGAAAACTCCCCACTTTTGTTCCCTTTCCACACTAGTGCATCCCCAGTCTGCAAATTCAAAACCTGGGACTGAAACAAAACCAAAAGAGTCCCCACATGTTGAATCTCCCAATCATTGAAGTCCTTTCTAACGGTATCCACACAAAAGCATCTGCTACCACTGCTTCTTTATCTTCAGACAAATTGAACAGGGTAGGAACATATCCTTAAGGGAATTCTCCCCTGTCCAGGCATCCAACCAAAACTTAATCTTTCTCCCATTCCAAACTTTAAATCTAACTTCCCTTCTGAAAAGGTTCAAAGCTTTGCATATACCTTTCCACAGACTGCATCCATAGGTTGACATGGGTGGACCACTACCCCAACCACTTTAATCCAGCCCATATTTTTCTGCTATTACTATTGTCCATAGGTTGTCAGGTTCAGCAGCAAACCTCCACAGCCAACTTCCTAGCAGAGATAGATTGAAGGATTTTAATCTCCTTAACCCAAACCCCACTTGATAGGGGTTTACAAATCTGACCCCAGTCAACAAGATGATATTTATGTGAATCCTTCCAACCCACCCACAAAAAGTCTCATCTTCTTTTTTCTAAAACCTCTGCCACTTCCGAAGGGATAGGAAATAGGATCATGAAGTGTGTTGGCAAGTTTGCTAGGGCACTCTTGATAAGTGTTACCTTTCCACCTTTGGAGAGATACCTTGCTTTTCAAGTAGCCAATTTCTGATCCATTCTTTCTATTATTGGATTCCAAATGGTTTTTGAATTGCATTTGGCTTCCAGAGGCAACCCTAAATAATTAGACGGCAGCTGACCAACCTTGCAGCCTAACAAGTCTGCCAAGCACCTTTGCGACTAGAGTGAAAAGGAATGGGAATAAGGGGTCCCCCAGTCTAATGCCTCATTTTGCTGCGAAGAAATCTCTAGCAGCTCCATTTATTAGGATGGAGTAATGCATCGAGCTCAGGCATCCCTTGATCCACTCTCCATCATTCCCACTAACCAACTTTGTACATAACCTCAAGAAAGAGAGACCAATTCACATAGCCAAAGACTTTCTCTAGGTCAAATTTACAAATGAAATCTTCCCCCCTGGCTTTCCTTTTTTTTTCGATACACACTCATTTGTCACTTGGATTTGTTCTACAATTTGCCTGCCTTCCACAAAGGCCCATTGAAATGGTGAAACCACTGATGGTAAGACCTTTTTCAATCTGTCTGCCAACACTTTAGCTAAGATTTTGTACAAACTTCCCACCAGACTAATAGGTCTATAATCTCTTAGTGATGTGGCCTCTTTCTTCTTCGGTACTAGTGCAATAAAGGTGGCATTTGTTCCTGGTGAGACCGTGAGACCTTCCCTTTTTGGTGGAACTCCTCAAAGACCTCTAGTAAATCATGTTTTAAGAACTCCCTACAGTCTTGATAGAAAGCCAAAGAGAACCCATCCAGTCCAGGGAACTTTGATCTTTCCATTTAAAAAACAGCTTCTCTAATTTGCTCGATTGTAGAAAGCCCAGGATTGATCACTTGTTAGCCTAGTCCAAGGCCTAGCATCTCTTGTCTACCCTCAACCACTCTAGAGAAAATGGCTTTGAAATGGTCTACAAAAGCTTTAATGATCCGCCTTCTCTTCTAGTCTCCTGCCCATCCACCTATACCTTAGTAATAAAGTTTTTCCTTCTTCTCCCATTTGCAAGAGAACGGAAAAAACTTGTATGACCATCCCCTTCTCGAAACCATTTGCATCTAGACTTTCACCTCCAAGAGATTTCTTCCTTCCTTAGAAGTTCCTTCAAGTCTACCCTCAATATCCACTTTTCACACCTTCATGTTGATGTCGTGTACTGAGATTTTTCTATTTTAAATAAATTCATTTTCGTTTTGCAATAAAAAAACAATTATCAAAAAATCCAAGTTTACGAAACAGCCAGCAACACTATTCAAATAAAATACTTTAGATATTACATTCTCAAAGAAAAGAGGAAATTTTCATGAAATGAGTATCATGTAAGTGATACATATCCACATTACAGAAAGCATACCCTTTAAAGTCAATGATAACCAAGAGAGGCATATATACACCCAGATATGCATCTTTGACGGCATGTACAACTTGCACAAGTAGTTTACCTTGAAAAAACAAACATGAGTATTTTCTTTTACCACTCAATACTCAGTAACACTATGCTCTCTTTCCCACATGGGTAAAAGGGTTATGCCTTCTGCTGGGTACTTCTTCTTGGTAAGTAATACATCTTATAATTCTTTCATGTAGTGCATCTTTGAAAAATAACAATTCAAAATCCAGGCAGTTTCAATCACAATCAAATAAACATTGAAATCATGGCCTTCACTCAGTTGTCCCACATAAGCAACTATAATGTGAAACAAGACAAACAAAGAAACAATAGAAATCTAAATTACCTTGAAAATGTCTCCTGCATAAGCATTCGTTCAATTGCAAGTTTGGTTTCACTTTTCTCTACTATAAGTTGTGGCTCCTTCTCGACAAATGTATTCTCTTCAAGTGCCTTTTCATTCTTCTAATATATGCAAAAAAGTCAACATCGCATGATTAGAAAAACCAAAGTTCATAAAATTTTCATGATCATAGCCATAAATGCTATAGATTTATGAAATAAAGAATGGCATACAGAAGCCAAAATTGTGCCAGAACGACTCTTAATAGGTTAGCCCCTGCTGCCTAATTCATTGATACCATTCATTTAACTTACATATTGCAATCAACTTCCCTCAGAAAAAATCCTTGATGTGGAGAAGCTGAAGATTAGTTCCAAGGCAGCAGTAATACCTTTTAGTGAGAAAGAGCAATTCTTGACTTGATGTGGACGATGAGACAATGGAGTTGATGTCAATCAAAACAGAGGACTTGTGGTGGTCAAATAGTAGCAAATGTCCTGTAATGAGGGAGAGGTTGGAGAGAGAAACTTTGCAATAAAACTGATGGGGCTTCCATTCAACCTCTTGAAGGAATCAATCATCAACAGGATTGTTCAGACATTGGGTGGGATCATGGAGAGCTTTGAGATGCATGATTTGCATGCAGTAAAGGTGAAGGTAGCAGGAGTACAACCAGATGACATCCCTGGATCTGTGCAACTCTTCTCTGATGGACTGTGGAGGAAGGTGTGGCTGCTAACGGAGGTCAAATTGGCGTTGTGGGAAGCATGCTCCAAGGAAAAAGACGATGGTGAGTTGACATGTTCGAGTCAACATGGAAGGAGGTGAGAGGGCAAAGGTGGAAGAGGAAATGTCAGCTTATCTATGGAAGTCAAAAAGTCAAATCCAAAAAATCTCTCTGCTGTTGGTCCTGAAAAAGAATCATTTTCAAAAAATCTTGAACCAAGGGAGAATATGAACAAGGATTTATCCTTTGCCTAGGTAGTTAAAAAAGGGGCCAGCTTTGATCAGGTGGGATCCACCTAATATTAAGAAGGAATTAAAAACCCTCTCGAACCCAACCGGGTTTACAGCCAGACAAGTAGAGTTGAACCATTCTAATGAGAAAGCTGAGAGGACCGGCTCATGTGACATGTTAAGTAGTCACGTGAGTCGGGTTTCTTTGACTCCGATGGGAGACCATAATAGTGGTCTCTCTTCTTCCCCAAGTGCACACAAAAGGCTGGTTTGAAGAACTCAACTAAGAAATCATTACAGTGGGTGCCCAGGAGTAAGAACAAAGAAGAGGATTCTGGTAAACAAACAGAGGATCACCCGAACCCAAGATATTCTAGGGCTCGACCAGAGGAGATTGAGGAGTAAGATGGAGGTTGGTGTTGACTGCAATATATCGGAGGATGACAACAATGTGTCTAAGACTGAGTCTGAGGTTGGCAGCTTGGGGGAGGATAATGAAGCAAGGGAAGGCGAAGAGGATACTTCCAATACAGCTCTACTCTTTGTCAATGAACTGGAAGAACAAAAAGAAGAAAATACTTCTATTCTGCAGATTTCTACAGTCCAGGAGTTCAAACAAAATTGAGTACAATTTGGTTTCTAGGGAGGATAATCAAAGACCTAATCGAAGAGAACAAAACCAAATACAAAGCTGTGGGCAGGGTGTCCATAAGTTAATAGTGGACGATCACCTGCAGACTCACAAAAATAATCCAAGAGGGGATAAACTACAGACTTGTGGGAGAAATAATGAGTGTGAACCAAGTCTAGCTCCTTGCAGCAAGTTCTCCCTAGGGTGGTCAGTAAATCCCAAAATCCTAAACTGGACAAGAGTACAGAGGCCCCTTGTTTGGTAACCGTGTCTGGAAAAACCTAAGATTCCTTTCTTCCCAAACTGTCCAACAAACAGCAGCTCTTGTGCATCTCCATAAATTTTTTTATCAGCAAAAATAAAGTTGTATTAATAGATTTTAAAGAGGTGATTAGTATTAATAAGTTTGTGCATCTCCATAAATTCTTCCCCTCTTCAAATTATTTCTTCAAATCAACTCTTCTTAAACTCCCAATACAATAACTCTATTTAAAGACTCAATTATGAACTCAGATGTCCCTTTACAGACTCCAAGTCTCCAACTTCAACTAGGAAACTGACCCAAAACATCTTCAAGTTGCCTTATGACTAAGACAATCTTTTTTTTTATCAATAACTTTGAAACTTTTTGTTGAGTTGGGCCTAGTTGTTTTTATTCTTATTTTAAKTTATTTAGTTAGGAAGTTGTTGGGCTTTAGGCCCATTAGTTTATGTTTTTAAGTTGTGACTGTTCAGCTACATTAGTAGCCGCCCTACTAAGGGCATCCTTGTAATATCTCATCCTTTAAGTATAAATATAATGAGGGGTTGGTGGCTAGGGTGAATCTATGAATCCTGGTTGACTTCCTACTCTTTTCTTCTCTACTGCTGAAATCTTCATCTTCCTCTTCTTTCCCTTCACAAGAAATTCGACTAAATCTGCAATCAGTGATTTCTACTCTTTTATTGACTAAAAAACTTTAGGATACAACAATAAGTTACAAAAGAAATCAGCATAGTAAGCTGGCCCAGTACAAAATTACAAGTGTGCCCAAAACATATCTATTCTGTGAACCCCTTGCTTTGCTAAGCTATCTGCCAAACTGTTGGCAGATCTCCTTACCCATCTCACCTGATTTGACAAGTTCCTTGACATCCATTTAAATCTTTTGAATTCATTCTTCAACTGCCATGTCACCCCTTCCCCATTCTGCAACCATTTTTATAACAGTTTTTGAATCTCCCTCGATGATCAGTCTATTGATCCCCAACTTTTTAGCCTTCTCAACCCCATATACTACAGCTAGAAACTTTACCCTTGTCACATCACCTACCTCCACAGGACCAGAGTAAAGGGCAATGATGGAACCATTATCGTCTCTAATGGCCCCCCAATACCTGAAAGGCCCAGGCTACCCACACAACTCCCATCAAAATTTAGCTTCTTCCAATCCTCTGTTGGAGGGGACCAAGTCTCAACAAACTGTCGTCTCATAGACGATGAAGCAGCAATAAGTCCCCACATCCTGAAAAAATCTTCAACCTTGAAAGCTTAAAACAGCTTAAAACTTTTTACCCAATGAGCCACCCTCAAAGTTATTGTTTCAACTAGAGCTTCCTTGCATTTTTCTTTACTTTCAAACATCCTATCGTTTCTTTCCTCCCAAATGGTCTAGAGAATTGCTGCTCTAGTGTATCTCTAAAGAATCCTTCCCCTCCTTGTCATACCACTGATACCATTAAGGTTGAATAAGCCTTCCACCCTATCAGGAGAGGACCACCTGCACCCAAAAAGGGAAGTAAACCAATTCCAAATAAAACTGACAAAAGGGCAAGATATAAGGTGGAAAACAGTCCACCATTCAATTTACACAGGACACACCAGTTAGGGGACAAGCACCAATTTGGCCTTTTCCTTTGAAGCACATCAAAGGTGTTAATACAACCATGAGAAACTTCCCAACAAAAAGCACCGACTTTAGGGGGGACAGGAGGGCACCAAATTTCTTTGACTGGAAAATGAGAAGAAGGTTGTGCGGCAACCATCAAATGAAGAAAGGACTTACAAGAAAAGGACCCTTTGGCATTAGGACCCCAAATTCCAGAATCTGACCCACCTTCCCCCAAACGAACTGAACTCAACAATCCTAACAGCTTGGACACTGCAAGAAGTTCAGACTCTCTAAGGTTCCTGTTAAATCCAAAGTTCCAATTCAACCCTGGAAGGTGAGATGGTTGTGTAGGCACCATGGTAAGGCTATGAAGGTCAAGTCTCTGAAGGTCCAGAGATGGCGGTGGGAAAGAGAGAGGACGTGGGGAAGAGAGAAGAGAAGAGAGACCCCTTGTGAGAAACCCTAGGTCAAAGCTATGATTATGTTGTCTCCCCCTTTTATAGAGAGGGTTAAGGCCATCAGGGAAGGAGTTCTTTCCTGTTAGGAAAGAGAATCTCTCCTATTAGGAAAGGAGGTCTTATTAAGAGATCATTATTAAAGAATCCTATCCCTTCCGGATTCTCTCCTTATGTGACCCTATTGTATTGACATGGCGTGGGTGACGTCATCGTTTGGCAGGTGTACTTTCATTAAACTCGCATGCATAACTTAAAGACGTACATGTAACCGGTATCTGTTCCTGTTCTACCGTGATTCCGCAGTTCTGTGATGGTGTCGGGTTCATCGCAGTTTTACGTGTGTTCAGGTTCATCGGAAATCCGTATGTGTTCGGGGTTCATCGCAAACCCATATTTATCTTAGCTTTATCGCAGATTCGTGCTAGCCAAAGTTCATCGCGACTTGTCCCGAGTGTGAGTTCATCACAATCGTGCAATGGGTTTTGGATTCATCGCAGGCGTCTGTGTAGTATTAGTTTGACACCTTTTGTACTCTGAGGGTCTTAGTGACCACTATGTACCTACAGGTTGACTTAGGAACTCAGAAATAGGCTTACTTGTAAACCTGGATAGGTCATAAAGAGAAGGAAATTTCTCACCCAAAGGAATATCCCCGATCCACACATCTTCCCAATATCTGATTTTGCTACCAGTAGACAAGTCATATCTGATAAAATTTAGGAATGTAAGGAGAAAATCCCTCATGATTTTTTCAATTTTCCTCACTATCCCTTGTGGCATCCTAAACACTGACATATAGTACACTGGGAGATTTGCTAAAGTTGATTAAATTAGGGTAATTCCCCCCTAAACCAATGAGATATAGTTCCTTTTCCATGCCGCCAACCGTTTCTCAATCCTTTCCACTACCAGAGACCAAAAGCTAGCAGATCTAGGGTTATCTCCAAGGGGTAAACCCAAATATTTCATTGGCCACTCACTTTTCTCGCAGCCTAGGGAATTTTCCAGATCTCTCACTTGATCCTCTTCAATATTAATTCCAACCAATAAACTCTTTGACCAATTAATCCTCAAATTAGACATCCTCTCAAAGAGTTTCACAACCAACCTCAGATTTTCCACTCCCTCCCTGTTTTCTCCATCACAAAAGATAAGAATATCGTCTGCAAACTGTAAATGAGTGACTAGCATATTATCCCTCCCAA